CATGCAAGTGCTGTATTTGGCCAAGAAATACATGCTTCCTTCCCTCGCTGACAAGTGCACAGAGTTCCTTTGTGAAAACCTGGATGCGTCAAACGTGTTGCATGTGTTACCAGACGCACAGAAATACGAAGAGAAAGATTTGGAGGATCATTGCTGGGAAGTGATCGATAAGGAGACAGAAGAAGCTGTGAAATCGGATGGCTTCATGACAATTGAAAAATCAGTTGTGGAAGAATTGGTCGAGAGAGAATCGTTGAATGTGAAGGAGGTGGAATTATTCAAAGCTGTCGATTGCTGGGCTTCAAAGGAATGTAAAAAGAAAGGGCTAGCTGCAGAAGGTCCTGTGAAAAGAAGGATCCTCGGAGAACGGATCGTAAAGGCAATTCGTTTCCCTGTGATGAAAGAAAAGGAATTTGCTGATGTTGTACTTGACAGTGAGGTCCTTACCCCGAGAGAGTCATTCGATATGGTGAAGTATTTTAATTCTTTGCGGAAGGTCCCAGAGGGGTTCACTGAATCCCCAAGAGCTGGTTGTCGTCTAGCATTCAAAAGACCGGATAGGATGAAGACGGTTTATTCTCCGCGGATAGTCGGTGTTGGATCAGGAAAAACATCCAAAGAGTCGAAAAACATACAATTCCGGATATCTTGCTTTTGTGGAGCTACGAAATTAGTAAGTGATGTGTATGGAAATACATCTTGCTGTTCTTGTGGTTCAAGGATCGGTTAGTATGGCGCCAACATCGCTGACAGTAAGAGAAAGTAAGAGGAACATTTTTTGTCTTCTTCGCCGTGACTAAGCTTTCACTGTAGTTAATTACAAAGAACTGGCAAAACCCTGTTGATCTGTTAATTTGTAGAGAAGCAAATTTAATTAAGCAAATATCATGCTGCAACCGGCGATATCCAAGAATTGGTGAGGGGCCCTTAAGGTGATTCCCTAGTAAAAGAACCCGCTATAGATTTCCGATGAAACTTGGTATGCTGTTTTCACAGCACAAGGAGATATTAAAAACGTAATAAAAAGAGAGGGTCACCCTGCTTGTTTTCACGCCATAATGCTGACAAATATAGTTATTAAGGTGACTTTTGGTAATCTTCGTGCGCAACAAATAAGCTCCATTATTTTTCAATGCAGCGTTTTATATGACACAGAGTTTGACTTCCTCTGATTGTTTATTTATCTACGTCCCAGAAAAGATGTCTTCAAATATCCAGCATTTTTTTATCCTTTGAAGGAAACATAATTTGGACATGCGCTGTTGAGCCCGTTATGTCTCTCTCTGTAGTATTTATTTCATTTGCCAAAAAAGTAGCCATATATAGATTTCTGATAATTTTTTTCTCAGTTATTGAGGATATTGTTCTCATTGAAATTACGAAATAAAAAGTGGGGGTCACCGTGCTCGTTTAAGAGAGAAGATACATTTATTTCGCTATCGAGCTTAGTTTGGGGGAAATCTCTTACGTTTTGTACGCGCGCACGCTCATGTGCAAGTAAATTCACATGCCACGTCATGCATCGAGCGCGCGCTAAGTAATAAAATGAACAATGATAGGGCAGATGGCCTAAAAAATGATGAAGATCTATCGATTAGAAGTTTGAATTTTTTGCGAAACGCACCATCGAATTCCGTTCTTTTTATCTTCGTTTATCTGTGCGACGGTTTTAAATACCTCTTGAAGGGTTAAGTTTTGTGAAAACGTTGGCAACATTTGTCTCCGTTGACTCACCTTCGATATTTTTAACTGTAAACCCTGTAGACCATGCTGAATTATGTGCGCCAATTTTTCAAAATCAGGGTCGTTTTCCACACGTTTTATATCTGAAACGAAGTCGGTGACCTCCAATGTTGTTTGCATTTGTGACACAAGTAACTCAGTATCTGACTGCAGTAAAAATTTTAAACAATCTATCGAATGGAACATTTTTGCGCGAACGTCCTTAATTTTGTATGTTTGATTATTTCCCGAACACTGACCTCCGTATAAACTTGCGTTTTCCCTCGCAACCCATACTGACTTAGCCTTCTCCATTTTGTTCCGTTGCCGAAGAAAACATATGGATTGTAAAAAGAAATGTTACAAACAGGGCTAAAAATTAACTTCAGTGCTTGGTCGCCACTAGGGCCAGTATCCCTGAACTCTTAGTGGCCCAGGCCAAAATGAAGTGGCCCTCAAATTTCCTCGACTAACATACAAAACATTTTTAAACCATTTTTACTTGAATAAATGACCCATGGCTTTTAACTTCTGCCCCTCAAAATGGATTAATTATTAATATACACTGAGTTATTGTTTAAATGAACACAATTTATTTCTTTTAAGTGTCTATTATGTCACTTATGTGCACTGCAGTTACATTTATAGGTATTTATTGATAAGTCTGTCAACGAATTCTCTCGCTGATTTATGATTCCGAGAATCCTCATGAAGCTTAATGGACTCCACTTTTAACTGGGCATTTCCGGAAACAAAACTATTCTTGTGACCAACTGTCGCGTCTGCAGCTGTTGCCTCTTTGCACACTTTGCAAAACATTAAGTTATCTTCGAACACTAACCATGGCCTTCCCTGTCTTTGGCTTTTCTCGTACAGTCGGTTACTCTCCAGAACATCGTCCTTGCTTTTGGCTTTTTTCGGCGGCGGCTGTTCACATCCAGAGAGGTATTTCCACATTTTGTATTCCAAACTCGAGCAGTTTGCCGATATTCGTGTTTCCAAATGTACCGCACAGACCTCTGGGTAAGTCTGGAGTCACGTGTCAATAAAATCAAAATGGCGTCTACATRTYGGAGTGATCTAAAAACTCGATCACGAACGGCTTTRAATTTTGCACTTTAGAACTAACTTTTACTACAGATTGATGAACTTAGAGTTCAGGAAAGAACWGAAAGAAAAGAAAGRTACTCCAAGGAAAGAGCATTTTATTTCATCTTTATTGTTATCCTTTGCGTACTTCTCAAATCGTAGTCGCCCTTCGGGCGATCAAACCTCAATTCTTAGTGGCCCTGGGCTCTGTTCAATCGCCACTGGCGGCCGTGCGACTGCCAAGTTTTAACCCTGTACAAAATTATATAATAGTACGTTAAGTCGAAATTTGTAAAATAGATCGAAGGGAATAAAAAATATAGGTTGATCGATCGAGATGTGCAGAATATCTGTTGATTAATAATATAATCCTAAACAGATTCATGTATGTCATTTTAATTCAAAGTATATAGGCGTAATTTAGTATTTCATAGTTTTATCATGAGTATATCAATTTTAATGTTATAGACATATGTTAGTATGTCGTATCGTAGATTAAGAGCCACAAGTTTATTAGTGTTGTGCACTATATTAGGTGCTACCTTCGGTAAATAAAGAGGTTATTTACCGCTAGATGTCGTGACCGAGTCGAGAGTTTTGAAATTCAAGTCGACGAAATGAAATACAGTCGAACTAAGTGAGGCGTACCACTCAAGATTAATTGATTATCGGAAAAGTGAACCCATTAATCGGTCCAAGAATACGGCTAATGGGTTTAATGTTCAAAAAAATCAATTTAATTTTGATTTTTGAAATTAATGACTAGCGACTTCAATATTCAAATAATCAATTCATTATTGCATTCTTGAAACGATTAGCGGGTTCAATATTCAAATAATCAATTAATTAATGTAATCTTGAGGGGTACGCTTCACTTGGTTTGACTGTAATACATCGAAAACGTTCTATCGCAGGTGCAATTGGGCGGCCGAAAACGTGTCTTTGATGAAATACAGCTGAATCATTAGTTGTACGAGTGGTACCAGTTGATTAGGCCGCTTTTGCATTACTGGCAAGCGTTACAATGGCTGCATGCTGCTGCATGCATCCTTTTACTTCGTTGAAACGTATCTGAAATGAATTTATGGAGGCAGCGTGGCCGACTGGTCGGCACTTCGGACTCGTAATCCAGTGGTCCCAGGTTCGAGTTCGGCTCAGCAGACCACTACCTGAATTTGTTTCACGGTAGCCCTGAGTTCAAAAAATCCCTGGCCACGCTTGTAAATAGCCAACTGGTTTGCCTCCGGCCTGTTGGGATTCTTAACAATGTTATGTTCATTTTGAATTATTTGTTTCAATTGTTTGCTCGGCCCCACTAGCCTTTGTGCTGTAAATACTGCCGGGGGCAAATAAAGGTTACACATATATTTTATATATTTTATCTGACATTTATCACTTGATGGTACTATTTGAATTTTAACTTTCACGACTTGAAACAAGAGATGGAATAAGCTCGAAATTTACAACAATGCCAGTTTTAATTTCGATAGAATTTAAGTATTTTGGTGTTCCGTTCGTGGTGGATATATGTCGTTGACGAAGACTTATGAAGAATTGCTGAAATTTTTACCGAAAGCTGACTAATAATTGCCAAAAAATTTAACCGACAGCTGAGATTCCAGCACCCCTATCCAGTCCGTCTTCCAGTAAACCGCAGATTTTATAATGGAGATCACGTTTTCTGTTTGACAAAGGGTGCTTTTTACTTTTGCTGCTTTTTGGTTACTTTCATGGCAAACGCCGAAGACAATTTCATGGTTAGATTCATTTCTGAACAACTGGGCAGTCGCACGTTAATATTTCATTTATCATCTTTCTTTCGATGTCGTTATTTAGGTACTGTTCTCAGTTCCTAAGCTCTTTTTTCTCCAGTTTAGTAGTCTTTTTCCAGTCTTTCTTTCTGATTATACTAGCTAAATACATAAGAAGTAGATAAGGCAAAAAGCCAACTGGCATGTTTTTATTGCCTGGATTGTATTTTATCATAATTTTATTGTATTTTATTGTAATTATAAATACTTAAAAGTAGTGTGGCATGTGGTGTTAACTTTAATAATTCTTTGTGTATGGATTAGTTTTTTGTGTGTTCAGAATAAAAACTGAAAAACTAGCCTTTCTCTGCTTCGTTAATAAATGTATTACTTAGTGGCCCATGTAAACTAGTGTGCAAGTTATATTAGTTTA